CAGCCCAATGAATTCAGTTTCAATGCAGCAAGTAAGTCTTTCGAAGGAGGAGGTCAATGGCAAAAGTCGCTTGGTTTGGTGGCATTTTTATGCAGGGCTACAGTCAAGTCGGACATTCAAACCTTTACGACGGCATTGTGTTCTTCTTTGCAGGAAGGTCAATGGCAAAGGTCAGTCAGCTTTCTTGAAAGGATGTCAAGCAAAAGCATCCTGCCAGATGTGGTCAGCTTTAGTGCGGCCATTTCTTCGTTTGAGAAGGCCCACTTTTGGCAGATGTCCTTGAACATCTTCGAAGCCATCCCAATAGCAAGAATCGAGCCGAATGTCTACAGCTTCAGTTCAGCAATCAGTTCCTGTGAAAAGGCGGGGCTGTGGGAGGAGGCACTAGTTTTGTTTGACGAAACGCCAGATCAGAGCATACAGCCCAATGCAATCAGCTACAATGCAGCCATCAGCTCATGTGGAAAGGCAAGCCGATGGCAAAACGCATTACACCTATTTCAGGCGATGCCTGATGCAAACATTGCACCTGATGTCATCGGCTATAGCGCAATGATCAGCGCATGCGAGAAGGTGGGGCAATGGCAACAGGCACTTCACTTTTTCTGGGCCATGTCCTTGACACATGTTCAGCCCAACACCATCAGCGTCAATGCAGCAATCAGCGCTTGTGAGAAGGGAGGTCAATGGCAGCAGTCTTTGAGTTTGCTTCTGATGATGCATGAGTTAGAGATTCAGCCAGATGTTGTCAGCCTCAATGCTGCCATCAGCTCTTGTGAAAAGACTGGAGAATGGCAACAGGCTCTGGCTGCTTTTGTAGGGTTGGGCGAGGCAAACATTCATCCAAACATTGTGAGCTTTAGTGCGTCCATCAGTGCTTGCGAGAAAGGCTGCCAGTGGGAGATGGCAATGTTTTTCTATAATACGATGCTTGGCGCACGGGTACAGCCAAACGTGGTCAGTTTAAATGCGGTCATCAGCGCTTGCGAAAAGGGAAGGCAATGGGAGCAGGCATTGAGCTTGGTCAGAACGATGTGGGAGTGCCGCATTGAACGAGACATTATCACTTTCAACGCAGCTTTGAGTGCCTGTTCCAAGATGATGCGATGGGAGCATTCTCTTAGTTTGTTTGAGCTCATGCCCGTGGCAAACCTTACACCCGACGTTGTCAGCTTCAGCGTGGCCATCAGGGCCTCTGAGCAGGGGAAGTCAGCTTGTAGCCTCAGTGTCAGCAAGCTGCAGGAAGAAGCTCTTGGACAACTCGCCACTGCTTTTAGACTTGATCATTACTGATTAAGTGCGTTTTATCTGGTCACGGCAACGTCGATGTATTTTATGATGCAGCAATGTTGGCCCCAGCCATGTCGACAACACACAATGTGGCGGATTCGATGGGCACATCCTACGTGGACAATCATCCAACTTTCTAGGCTGATCAAAAAGAATCCTTGCTCATCCTTGCTCCATCTTGCTCCTATATTCTTTTCCAAGCCGCTGCAACCAGCTTTGTGACCAGACGTTGTTGTACCATGTTTTACCATGTTTTACCCATCAGGATCTTGCTGAACACCCCAGGGCCTTTCGCACGGAAATTAAAGTTCTCCGACGGCTGCTCGGGTGGGGTTAAGAGTGGGTCGCACCACAACAATGAAGCTGCATGACACGCTCTCTGTACATTGCATATATATATATATTCTCTCCGTACATACTTGTAGTTGTATATGAGCTACAACCAAAATTTAGGTCAATGGAAATTAGTATTCGGGACATTTTGTTTTTTGAAATTGAGCTGGGGCTTGGAAAACGATAATACACTCTTCAAAGAAACGATGATAACATTTGCTTATACACCAAAACCCAAAAAACGATATGATGACTTGGAGCTATATACCAAATATTGACCGTGGCCCATATGTTTATATGTGATTATGATGATTATGTGATTTATGTGGATATCTATTTTGTTTATATATTAATCAATCTCTATCTATACCCATACGCATACCCATATCCATACTCACACATGCATGCGACAATGCATATATCATATACATATAATTTATCATATAACTAATGTACTTTATATATTAACTGTGTATGTATATTATACATTATGCTTGCGCGCCCTTACATGTGTATCTTTGATGTGGAGAGATAGATTTGGCGTTCAGCTATATGTTTCCTTGTAAGGACTTGCTTGGCTTGGGCACGCTTGCAGTGGGCATGACTTGAATATACTTGAATTATACTGTAGCAATGAAGACGACACAACACAATTCAATGCTGCCAATTTCTGATCCACCGTTGAAACTCAGGGCCGACATTTGAATCCATAGCTGCCATAGCCCCCAGACCCGCACGGATGCCCACTTCGCACTTCGCAATCCATTCTGCCAAAGGATCAGGATCCTGCAGCAACATTTGCAGCTGTACAGTGGTCCCCAAGCACAACATGTAAAATATGTAAAGGATTGGGATGATTGGGGCGCAAATCACACGCATACTGTGTTCAATATTGTTCAATTATTTTGAACCCGCGTCTTCGTACTTCCCATCATTTGTGTAGCCTGGTCGCGACCAGGGTTGCAGATCGAGTAAGTAGGAAATAAAGATCACGCACGGAAGCAGTGGAGTTTACTCGCTGTTCTTTGTTTCAGTTGTGTCACACCATTGGGTTCGTGCCCGCCTTGGAGTAATTTGCAATTGTGTGATGTCATGTTCTGCTGAGGTTGCTATTCAATGTTCTTGAATTGTTGTTAGTTTTTGCTGATTTGTATTTAAGTAGTTGCTGCACAGAGGTTGATATGTCTTGGACATGTTTGGACCTTTTCTTGACTTTCTGGGCAAGACTTGGGTAGCACACTGGAGTTGCAAAAGAGTTGAGCGTAGGGGAAGTCTTCAATAGAGAAGCTGCGTGGCATGTTCGAGGTGTTTCTATGTCATTCTCATGCCTTTCGCCCGAATCAAGATGATTGAAGTGTGAACGCTGTTCTCACTGAAACATACTGAAACCAGGTCACTAACTCGAGAACAGAACCCTATTGCAACATCAGATTAAGACGTGACGGTGATAGTGAAAATCAATGCGCATGGTTTTGCTGTGGGTAGTGTATCATGATATCATGGTTGGCCTGTTTGGACATGTTCAAGGTGAGAGAAGATTCGTCTACACGACTCGGCCCAAGCAGGGAAGTAAAGCAATGCAAAATGCAGCGGTGAAAGAAAGCATCGATGTATCGGACAGCTTGCTGAACCTAAGCAATGCCACGGAAGTGGAGGTAACAAAAGTCTTGCTGCCAGTTGTTGACAAGGACGCCGACCTTGAGCAAACCCTGAAGTCACTTGTCAAGAGAAAAGCGCCACAGCTGATATTCACTGTTCTCAATGTCTTGCGAAAGGAACAGCATTCAAGATTGGACAGACACGATTATTCGGTGGGAATATCATCATGTAGCAGGTTCTTTTGGTGGCAACATGCGTGTGAACTCTTTGCCTCCATGCCAGATGCAACACTTCAACAAAATGTATTCAGTTTTACTTCCGCAATATGTTCTCTGGAGAAAGGTACCCGATGGCAAAGTGCTTGCACTTTGTATTCGATCATGTGCAGGGCCACTGTACAGCCGAATTATGTCAGCTTCAGTACAACACTTGCCTCCATTGCTTCCTGCGAGACAGGCAAGCAATGGAAGTACGCCTTGAGTTTGTTTCAGGGCATGCGATGTGTTAGCATACAACCCCACGCCTTCAGCTTCAATGCAGCAATAAGTTCTTGCGGCGCTAAGTGGATCCAAGCCCTGGAGTTGCTTCAAGCTATGTATGAAGCAGATATTCAGCTTGATGTCATCAGTCTTTGTGCAGCTGTGAGTTCTTGTGAGAAAGCCGGCTTGTGGCAACACGCACTGACTTTGTTTGAATCGATGCCGAAGTCAAGGGTCCAACCAGATGTCATTAGCTTCAATGCAGCCATCAGTGCCTGTGAAAAGGGCATGCAATGGCAGCATGCGTTAAGTTTGCTCAAAGACATGCCAGAGAACAGTCTTCAGCCGGATTGTGTCAGCCTGAATGCTGCTATTGCTTCCTGTGATAAAGGAGGCCAGTGGCAGAAGGCTTTGGTTCTCTTCGCAGCAATGCCACGAGCTACGATTTCCCCGGACATCATTACATGCAACGCAACAATCAGTGCCTGTGAGAATGCTGGGCAATGGCAACAAGCGTTGAACTTGTTTTGTGCCATAGTGGAAGCCTACCTATTGCCAGATGTCATCAGCTTCAGTAGCACCATGGGTGCTTGTGAGAAGGACGGGCAATGGCAGCAGGTGTTGGGACTATTTGAGGCGATGTCGCTTGCGGATATCCAGCCCAATGTTTTCAGTTTTACTGCTATGATCAGCGCCTGTCAAAAAGGACAGCAGTGGCGAAAGGCCTTGGCCATTTTCGAAGCGATGCCAAAGGTGGAGGTGCGGCCAAACAATTACAGTTTGAACGCAGCTATTACCTGTTGTGAAAGGGGTGAACGCCCAGCTGGGTGCTATCAGTTTCTTTCGGCACATCTCTTGACGGAATACCCTGTCAAAAAGTTGCAGTCGCCCCTGCTCTCAATACCAGTGTAGACCCAGATCATGGACATGGATGCACATCACTTCAATCATTGACCCGAGCCACGTTTGTTTTCTGGGGGTTTATCAAAATCAATCGGATCAGGATGACAGAGAATAAGGGCAAGTACCACCTATACAGTGTAATACAGCAAGTCTTGGTTTTTCAATGTTTTTCAGGCTTACTCTGGGTGGCAGATTGTTCGCAATAACCTCTGGCATTGCATTCTCATGTTTAAAGTGACAGCAACATAGCACTACTCTCAGGGAGGGTCTTAAAGACATTGTTGGCACCTGTGCATGCTGATGGTCCAAGCCGGAAAGGATTTTACGAACAACGTGTCTCTGGATAAGTCTGGATTGTGAAGCCTTCGAACTCACAATATACCAGTGCATACTGAGGCAAAGACGGAAAAGGTCCAAGAGTACGTTCGGGCAGTGGAGGCTGGTTATCACCGGCAGCACCCTAACGGCACTGGCCATAATTGACTCATTTTGCGGCATGTTTGGGCGCTTTATGGCGCTTTCCTGACCTGGCCGCGGGGCCTTGCGTGCCTAGCCCTTTCTCATCCTTCCTTTGCTTCTAAGATTTCTAAGGAATCCGTACCACAACAACAGCCATGCCGCTGAGGCACCGCGGGATCAAATCACAAGCACGTGTTGCATGACAAACATGGCAACCTGTATACAGGAATTGACTGTAATAATAATTGATGCAACCAACGATCTTGCAACGAGCTTCTTGCCGGTGTTGCTTGCCACATTCTTGAGGCGCAGAGCACATTTGCTCCCTGAGGTCACCTTGATGACCTACCAGATTTGGACATACCTTTCAGCTGGCTCTTTCAAGGGCTACTTTGAACAGGCCAAGTGGGTAGGAACTGCAGCTGGAGAGACCTCAGGAAGTGTAAAAAAAGTGAATGGTTAAAAAGTAGCTCAAGGCATCCCGTTTTTCTGAAATAGCGTTTATGAAAATATGACTGGTCAAAGGATAAGAGGATAACGGAAGAAAGATAAAAAAGGATATAGGGCTTAAAGAGTTGTTATTTAAACGTTGCGTTCTTTTTTTGGGGGTACACTTACCCACATGGTCATGCGCGTTTTCCAACAACTAGGTGCGTAGGAATAATTCATGCCGTAAGTCGGTAGTGCATTTGACTTGCCGCTTTGAGTTTGCCTTACAAGGCCACAAGGCCCACTCCAAACCAAGCATGTTTCAAAACTTGAATCGTTGCACGTTTTTCAGGTCGACTTGTTAGTGGTTTTGCTGGCGGCCGCGATTCATGACATCGGGCACCCAGCGACCAACAATGCACCTCAGATGACCAAACTCATTGCATCTCACTGCGTTAATGCGCGTCAATCCCCTATAGAGCATGATCGGGACAAAAAGAGATGGCTGCTCTTCAGGCATCTTCAGGAAAGATGTTTGACAGATGACTCAGTCACCAATCATCACAAATCATGCTTGTGACATCCTTCCGAAAGACTGCCAGAACAGGCATTTTGAGTCAGTTTAATACAGATGTTAATGTTGAAGACTTTTTTGAAAGAACCCTGCTTTGCCCAAACAATTAAACAGCCTTGGCCATTTGGCTGTGTGAAGGTTTGGTACCCAATTCTCACACGAAGTTTTGTCTCAGGACTTCCTGGTGAAGACAAAGGCTGAACTTGCTACTTGGCAGATCTTGACAGAGCTTTTTAGCCACCAATGTGACTGGAATCAAAATAGATGAGTGCTCATTTTCTCGCTGAGTTGCTCGATTTCCTTCCAAGCTGGGAGCAAGCTGGGACGATGACAATGATACAGAATCATACAGGGTATTATTGTTTGTTTTGATGAGGCATTGCGATACCATGACACGGCTGTGCTGGAGAATTTCCATCTGGCCACTGCGTTTCAGCTGATGCGCTCCAGGAATGCAAGCACATGCAAGCAGCCTTTCAGCTAGGAAATGTGCTCACTTGTAGTATCATGCAGCCCCCAGAGTTTTTGAAAGCAATACAGGTTCAATTGATTCAATGAAGAGTTTTCATTTTGGACCACACCAGGGCCACCTTGCATTTGCCTTGCAGAGTCACCCGTACTACGCACAGGAGCATTTCCATGTTGGACCACAATCTTCCAAGTCCGCCAGTGACCTCTTTGCGACGGCGAATCGTAGAGATCGTACTCGCGTCACTTGTCTTCAAAGGCGCTGCCCACGTACAGATGGAGATGACTTCTGCCGGGCCAGTCTCGATTTATGGCTTGGTCCAGCTTGGCTCTTGTTCTGCCAAGGACGGACATGGCAGTCCACAAGAAACAAGTGGATGCTGCTTGGCTTACAACATCTTATAACTACTGTTACTGTACGATCTGTACGGGATGCGGCCTTCATCAGTATTATTTGGGCGGGTGACGAGGTCCAGCCATATTGTAGCCTTATGAAAAAATGGAAGAAAATAGGTAAGAAAATTAAAGGTTGATCACGGGATGGTCACAGCACGGCCAGCTTTGTACTTGCAGCACAACCCCCAAGCGAAAATCCACGGCGCAAGACAGACGACGTTAGATAGCGTGGTGCGCCAGAGAGAGGCCAGCAGCAAGCCCCGGGAATGCCCTGGGAAACATCGAGATAAGCTCTTCACGCTTGAGAAGAGAACTCTTCCTTCCAGAGCCTATCAGTAGGGAAGTAGGACCAGGACAGTCCATATTCACAATGACTTGCTATCCAAGGATATGGCCCGTTCAGTGGAGCGCCACACCAATCGACAAGAGATTGATAAGCGGATGCTCGAACAGCGGCCTAGCAGCAGCTTGAAACACGTTTTCGGACACGAGCACACGAGCGGTGCTTTTCCTCAGCAGTGTTCAAACTTCAGCAACTAAGGTATATAGTTCATACCGCTGATGTTGGACATCCCTTCCGCCCGGTGCCACAGCACCAAGAATGGGCGAGAAGAGTCAACGAAGCTGGGCTCGTAATAGTTTCTGCGTGGACAGATGCTTACAATGCACAAGCGGTTGCAGGTTTTTCTTGGATTCATTGCAACCCCTTCCTTCCCAACAAGCAATACATTAACAGGTGTTTTGTGGGCGTATATATATGATTAATTATATATGTATATATACAGTTATATACATACATACATACAGATCATACAGTACAGTACATTATGTAACATGTATATATATATATGAATATATATATATGTGATTATATATATAATATTATATACTAGTGTGCGTGTGTGTTTGATTCAGTTGTTGATTTACGTATGTATTTATATATGTATTTGTGTATTTGTTCATTTACATTGTTTTACTTATTCATTTGTGTATGTGTTTATTTTGCTCATATCCTGGGGTTGCCTCTGCAGGGTTTAGTCCTGTAGAGCGTGCGGATTGACTCGCACCCCCTTCTGTCTATAGTGTCCTGAGAGTTGTGTGACTTTAAGTTGTTAATTTTCATTTGTGTAAGCATTTATCTATGCTAATTTCTTGGTTTTTATTTATACATTCATATTCAGCCCTTTTCATGGATTGTAGTTCAAGAGTCTCTCCTTGCAGCCTAGCATACTGGAGAGAGTTTTCTTGACGGCACTCCCTCTTGCATGATGCCACTTCATTCAGTTGGAATTGCTGCCTGAGGAAGAATTCCTTCAGCAAGGAGATCGTGAAAAAGAACTAGGTTTCACTCCCATTGTACCTTGGCAAAGTTCGTGTGATTCTGGATCTGACGATGTCTGACACTTTGAAAACATAACCCGACTTGCAGAAGAGATTTATAATGATTTATACAATTTATGTTTGAAGACTTCGGAAACCCGGGATGGGAGGAGGTTGCAGAGGGCGGCCTTCACTTTCGCAAATCCCATGAGTTGCAGGCAAATCCCTTTCCAAATGCCTCGGACAAAGATAGACGAAGCTCAGGAGATGTTCGACCGAGAGAAGGCACCGCCGCTGCCAAAGAATCAGCTGGGTTTTTTGCAGTTTGCCACTTGGCCAAATAAATCAGGTCGAATGCGTCAAGTTGTTCTTGCGAATGCCTTTTGTATTCAGTGCAGTGTGGATGCAACGCCACCCCAGTAATCCTGAGCATTTCACATAAGAGTGCAGCTCACCACCTGACAAACAGCTGCCTCCAAAAAATACAAAATTCATCCAAAATCATCAGCAACTAAAAAGGCCAAATCCGACTCCCTGTGGCCCCCCCATCAGGTCCCATGATTTTAGGATATTTTAGGTATGGTGGTGAGTGGTGCATGCCTGTTGTCCTTCCACCCTGACTGCAGGTAATCCAGCCCTTGTGGAAGCCCATGGAAGCACTACTCGCAACTTTGATTGCTGGAAAGTTTCGGATTCAGATGTTGCACGTTCGCCCTGAAAACCGTACGAGTAAAACCCAAGTCTTCAGTAGTTCAACATTCTGAGGATGTTACGGTGATGTTACGTTGAAGATGTGTTGTTACGTTGAAGCTCTTACGGCGAAGATGTTACTGTCATGATTGGGGTGGATGGGGTTACGGTGATGACTGGGTGGGTGGGGTGGGGTGGGGACCTGTTAACTAACGTTTCTATTTAATACATCAATGTTGTTACGTTGAAGATGTTACAGTGATGATTGCGGTGGGTGGGAGGGTGGGGACCTGTTAACGTTCCTAGTAACACGCCAGTGATGTTACGTAGATGACGTTACGGCCGGGCTTGTGGTGGGGACAGGACGTTCGTTCCGGGGCAATTCGTCAATCAGGTTTGATTGAATTATACATGTGTGCGTACCAGCAGCGCTTTGTCAATATTGTCAATGGGCAATGTTGTTGCGTGTCAAAACCTGTGACCAGTTAAACCACCTTCATGAGGAAGCAGAAAATATGTCCAGTGGCTGCTTGCGTACGACGTCATTCGAAATGACCCAGTTTGGTACAACATATGCACAGTACCACAACAAGAGACCGACAAAACAAACAGAACCCAGCCAATTTGCTGCTGAAGTTGGCAAAATTTGAGTCTTTTTTTGGTTGAGAAACTCCCAGGCAGGCCACGTTTTCCCTTTGAGATCCAAATAGCGTTGCAAATGAAATACGCAGAAAAATGCCAAGATATTTGTGGTCTTAAATTTGAGCCTTTTTGATATCCAAATTGTTTCAAAACGTGGGTGAAACGCCTCAGAGCTCAGCTCAGAAGTATTTGAGAGAAGATGTAGCTGAGAGAGGCCCATCAGAGAGGCACTCAGAGCTTGCTCAGAGAAAGTGGCATACTTGTAGCTCACTGACGAGTTAGAACGGAGAAGAGATACTTCAGAGCAGAGGTAGCTCAGAGACTGATTAAGACTTGGCTCAGAAAAGAAGTAGCTCAAAGACTCTGCAGCTGAGAGAAGGGACCTTCTTCAGGGATGAAGTAGCTGATCATTCTATATATTTATATTTATATATATATATAATTATGTATGTATGTGTGTGTGTGTATCATGGTAGTTTATAATATATATATATATAATTATATTATAAATATATATATATATACATAATCACTTTTTTGGCACTATACAACTGTTTCTGGGTTGATCATTCTTTCATGTAATCATGAGATGGTTCCTTCATTGGCCCATTCAGCCAGTCATTTATTCGTTCGTTCATTCATTCACTCACCGATGCATGATATTATACAATGATACTCCTACGCACTCATTCATTCACCCACTCGTTTATATATTCATTCAGCCATTCAGTAATTCATGCGTCCATTTGGCCATGCAGCCATTCAGCCAGTCATGTGCCCAATCAGCCATTCGTCCATTCATCCATTGATCCATCCATTTGTCCATTCATCCATCCATCCATCCATCCATCCACTCATCCAGCATTCCGCCCACCCATCCATTCATTCATTCAATCAACGAAACAAACAATCGAAGAACCAAAAAAACAACCACGCAGTGGAGACTTGAATGGCACACCTGTGGCAGTCAAAACTGTTCTTCCAGGCCCTTCCTTTCGTATGGCCACCTAATCGTATCGAACTCTTTCCCCTGCGCAACTAGAACCGGCTGGTACTGAGTTTGTTTTTGTGTGTGTCACTCTGGCATAGTTCATGCTATACAGGTAATTTTTTCGTCGTCTTAGTTCATCCGAGCGGAACTTTTGGCCTGAGTATGGTCGTGATATGGTGTGATTTTTCAAGATGGGAATCCACCACCCATCCAGTTCCAAAACCAAGGATACCAAGTCTAGACCGGCCAGCCTTTTTCTGCAGCGGAATATAAAGGCAAGAGGGTGTTTTGGACTGGTGGGGCATTTGTGAGGCAGGCCGCAGTTGTTCCAACCCTAGTTTCGCAAATTTTCAAATCAAATACGACGAACCACTCGCGGATACATTGCAGCAGACCTTTGGATTCGATGAAATGCCTTGGTTCAGTGCCTTTGCGCATTGTAGTTTCCACCCTAGTAGAGGCAAATTCGTGTGGTGGCAGGTTTGGCAGGATGAGCCAACAGAAAATCCTCCGAACCTTGTCTGAGTATTTCTTATGTGAGTACTCTTCATGAGCCAAAATATTTGGGATTCTACATGTGGAAATCTTGGCTCGAACAAAGTTGTGTTCGTGTTGGACCTCAAGATTTTGGGGAAGATATATGTGCGATTATGTGTGCAATGGTTTGGTTTTGAGTAATTCATATCCTGCGCAAAAGTAGGACGAAATGAACATTGTCAGGATTAACCCACGCCTGACTGATTATAGTTTTGTGGTTTGACATTGGCATCCCGCTATTTACTGCTATTTTGACCAGCCAAGGTTCATGCAGAGAATGCAGACTCGACCACATGTTAAGGAAAACCAAGGATTTAAAAAAAAGACGTGAAGTTATAATACGGTGCATTTTCCAAGCAATGCATGAGAATTCGTAGTGTAGCTAGAGACAATTGTTTGGGGGTCATAGCAAGTTATACTTTCCATGGCCTGTCATGCCAAGATAAACTATGTCACACCAGCTCACAATTGGTCCTACTATGTCACAAGGAGTCGTACTCTGTCACTAGGTCCCGGGCTACTCTTGTAACAGGCCTTCCCTTCGGCAGCTTTGCAACCAAGGAGCGACGGCTAAGCCTGAGCTCACCTACGCCGAGTTTAGCTCGGTTCACCATTTTTTTTTGCTTATGGCGACCTGAGTGACCTGAGCCATTTCGATCATCTCTGAACCATAAGCCAATCATCACCCCTTACACAGCTTTGGTGTATCTCAGGGCCCGAGTTCAAATTGTTGCCCATTTGTTTGATGGCCACCCTGCATCACCATCGCTTTGAAAGTCTAAGCTGGCACAAGCCCCTAAGAGCTCACGAGATCTTATTGGACCAAGGGAATTCAGAAACCCATCTTTTGAATATCCTTGGCCAACATTCTTGCCACATCCTGGCTCACGCCTGTTTCAAGTCGCCTTCGTTATTCTGCGGTAGTCAGTTTGCATTCCATCTCCGGCCCGCCCCATGCTCAGCTGGCGCAACGAATTTCATTCCACTTGGTTCCTGTTGCTTCCATTACATGGGAACTACCTGAAGATTTGCATCTCACAGCGTTTTGCATTCATGTGGAAGACCTCTCCTCCCATTGGTTGTGTTGGCCTCGCCTCCACTGTAGGCGTGTATTTGTGAAGTATGTGTGTTTGTTCGTTCGTGCGCATGTATACATTGGGTGAGGTATGCGCCAGTCAGGTGGCTTTTGCGAGAGTTCTTGCCAGCTTGAGGGTGGGTTGCCGAAACAGAGGAAAGCTCACAGGAGGTGCCAATCAGTACTACTGCTGCATAGCACTGCGTTGAATGATATGAACGGAATTTTGCCAGTCAGGGAGGGGCAAGCATGATCAAGCAGGTTTTTCTAGGGGATGCAGGTTGTGTGCGTGCAACATTGCTATACGGTTTCACCTGGGATGCAAGGCCACTGATTTGACGAAGCAAATCCTGCAATGAACCCGACATATGATTACTATATGATGCCGATTGTATACACGTGCGGGGCAGTGGCGGCAGTTTGCCTCTTCCGGACAATTTCGGGTGAGGATCCTAGTGTGGATATTTCCCAAGTCTTGCAGCATACCTGACCTGCAATAGACTATCAAAGCTATTACGGATTTTGGCAAGTGAGCTCTCTTTACTACGCTCCGCGGTTGAAGACCTTGGAGCCCATGCAAAGTGCACTAGGGTGTCAGATGACATGAAGCAGTGGCGACAGCCATGAAAGAAGCCATAGGGGGACACAAACCATCAAGTCATTTGTGGCCTCCTGTAAATCCCGATTGGAGCCCAAATGAGCCCGATTGCTTCGCAATTGATGATTCAGGTAGAATTTTCCAAGACTATTGCATTGTTAGGCTGTCGACCGCGAATCCATGGAGCTTGAGCTTCAGTATTTTCCAATTGCCTGGTGGCGCTTGTTCCAAGAAGATTGAGTAGAAAGGGATGATTTTCTCATATGCCCCAGCTTCATCCAGCTTCAAGCACACTCTGATGGAGCTCCCAGGCATATGGAGAGTCTCAGCGACATGGATAACTTTGGACTTCCGGTGACAATTTGTGCACCATGGAAGCCCTGGGGCCGCGGGCCATGCAGTCTTTTGACCACTCTGGGGCAACCTCGAGCCTTGCGGCAATGTGAAAAGGTTGGCTTTCGAGTGCAACTGCAGTTTAGATCCTCAGGTGCTTGAATTGCAGGTGGTTGGAGCCAAGAATATTAATGTCTTAAGCGTGACCTCCAATCTTCAAAGGCACCAGCCGAAAATATTGGTTGTAGTTGTTGTGGACATCCGACTTGCACATGCATGCAGTTGATTGAATTCGTAAAGTATACAGGGTGTAGCTGCCAAGAAACTTCTGAACTTCTGAGCATCGGTTTCACATGACCAGACTGTGTTCGGACAATGCAGGCAAGGTGAAAACATTTGGCCTTGGCCCTCCACCTGGCGGGGAAGCACAGCAATGTCCTAATGGAGCATCAGGAAAAGACAATGCAAGTGCACTACTTGAGAGATGGTGATGTGGAAGTGCACACAAGTTCTCCAAGGGGTGTACATACACCAACTGTTTGTTTCCTCGACGTTCCTTGAGTCCTTGCTTATGGTGTTGAGATGCGGCATTCTGACAGACAAGGGGACATCTAGTTGTTCAAGAAGAAACTATGCACTCTCACTGCAGGCCTGTTCTGCATGCAATCTACTCAGTAGTGATGCTTGTGTGACTACCAAGGTGCAGATGAACAGACTGGCATGCTCTTGGGACCCGAGCTCAGCGTGGGGAAGAGAATGTATCGAAGTTTGTACAATTAGAGCTGCTTGGACTTGCAATGCAAACTTCTCTTCTACTTGTATCATATGTTATTAATATATATATATGTTGTATATATATATTATATGTCATGGCAGTGGTGGCCCAAGGCTTCTATCCACGGGAGTTGGATCCACGGCTACCACTCCAAGGTTCCATTGGTCCATGCGTAGCTAAGTGGCTCTCAGTTCACGGGGGACGCAACTCATGTATTTATCATATTTATCGTTGTTTCACATGTTTCACATGTTTCACTTCATTTCACTTCTCTCTTTCATCCTGGCAGGTTTGATCCAACGAGCACGTGCCAAGCAGGAGAAGGCCATGGCCGAGGCCTGCCTTCTCCATACTTCGCCCGACATACCTGTGTCGTGATTCTTTCATCGCTGGCAGAGCTGTAGAGTCAGTAGAGTAAGATAGGATGCATTTTGTATCTAAAGAAGAAGTGGCTGAAGGGGCTCCCGCATCATGGTACAGAGCAAGTATGCTTATCAAGTGAGTATATGACAGTATAATACAGTATGGGTATGTAATTCATAAGTAAGTGATTCCAGTGATCACACCTGGATCATATTATGTGTTTTTTTCAGGGACCTACATGTGACGTCCCGGTACTTCTCTTTGGCATTCTCCCACCTGCAGCACCCTTGCTCTTCCTGCATCTCACCAACACATGTTGCGCGGTTTGCCCCAAGCCAGATGAAATTGGAAGATGCGATGCAGCATGTGGCGCAGTGCTTCCCTGAGACTGTTTTCTCCCACAGATGCTGCAAGGCACTCCAGTCTGTAGCCACTACCATCACCACTATCTTTGCTGTCTACAATCTGCACGCTTGGGTATGAATGGGCAAACAGAGTTGCATGTTTTCGGATGTAGCCTTTAGATAGTTCAAGCGATGAAGTATGGTATGGGGATTGCTGGTAGCGGTCTAGAGGCATGTCAGAAAACCAGGTGTTCTTATGGTTCTTTGTTTTTCTCGTTGTTCTTGTGCCAAGGTGCCCATTGGACAACATTATTCAGATACAGTCGGCGGCTTGGATTTTTGGCATCGAGCACCTAAGAGCAGCGCGAACTCTGCTCCTTTCCAATGGTCCCCTGCCATTCTGCCGTTGCCTTCTTGGGGAAGCTAAAGCACCTTTCCTGGGCTGTGGGTTCTCAGCGGTTTGTAATGTCGCAAGATTATGCAAGCAGTGCTTGCAAAAGTGGTGAGGAGACTGTTGATATTGACCTTCCAAGGCAGTGCATCAATATGCTGCAGGATGCCATGCAAAAAGGCGAAGAGACAGGCGGGTCCTGGCGTTGCGTCGCAGGGATGATGTGCTGAGTCAAGATCAGTCAACCGTACCTATTTATTCTTCGATGTCCTTCCTCATGCCTTCCATTGCTTTCCATTGCTTTGACACCTTCACATGCAAGTAGGATCAATTAGGCAATGCGGTCCGCAGAGGAGAAAGAAAAGTGACACTGCGAGACGGCATTCTGATATGTTGCAACCCTCATCCAGAGTAACAAACAGTTTCCCGTGGTTTGTTCGGGGTTGCAGAAATTTTACTCTGAAACATGGTTTTAATAATAAGATGTTTTAAGCCTTCTAGAGCCCGAAAGAACGTGGAGGGGACATGGGGTAGTCACTGCTTATGTGACTTTGAGCGGTTTTGATTCCTGCAACCCTAACCGCCAACTCCAATGGAGGCGCCAATCCAGTGCTCATGTTCGCAGTTGAGGACAGCAGCCTAGCAGCCTCCGTTCCCCTTCCGACAAGCTTCGCTTTGAACCAGCGAGTTTTGAAGGTTCGATATCTTCTATGTTGGCCTGCTAATTATTTTTCCAAATCTTTCTGTTGAGGCATTGTGCCGATGGAGTACATGTTGGAAGCATGATACGAGCATGTAGTAGCATTGCCACCTGTGCAGTGAATGTTTGCAGCATTAAAGGTTGGGATAATTGGGATAGGTTGGGAAACCTACTTGGGTCCACTTAAAACCTGAAATGGCCATACTACACCTGCACGATGCTTCGACATCGTTTGGCCTGATGGTTATGTTCACACAGAAAGGAGCTCTTGACAGATTTGCGTGGCCGGAAGGCACGGTGCTGCGGGTACCAGTTACAAAATCCAAATAATCCAAATAATCCAAATAGAATGAATGCCTTGTGGATCCTTTTGGTACTCCGTGGCTGAGCTGTTTGGAATGCTGTTGCCCACCTAGAGTAACTATATACAGTAGATGCAATTAGCCCAAGTCCACGGTGAGAACTGAAAGTGTTTGGTGAAGACCAAAGGTAATGGGCTTCACAAAGCAGTGATACAGGATTGTGGATGATGGGTGCATCGTTCTTGGACCATCCAACAACAAAAAGACCGCGATGCATTCCAAACCTCCCTACATCCATGCTGACACATACAAAAGACCAAAGCAACACTCTCCCTCTTCGCATCTCGATTTTGGAGCTCCAGAGGCACGACATGATGAGTTCCACTCTGAGAGGCAGGGCATTTGGCGAAGCGAACATCACCAAGTGTTCTTCGGGTTCTGAAAACTCTCCCATCCCGCTACGCCTTTCCGAAAACCTGCAAGGCTGAAACTAGGAGAAGTATCCAGAAGTTCTATTTGTATGCATTTGTCTCCAAAAAATAGCTGCTGCAACTTGCTACAACTCGTTGTTACAAGCTTGCGCTGCCGTCATTACTGCGAAAAGCCTTTTCCCCTGTTTGTTTCCAACCGTTTGACACAAGACTCAGCATAAAGAGGTCCAGGAGTCAAGTTGAATGCCACAGATATGTAGGGACTTTGTTGTTAATAGCCCTAGGTACCTGTGACAGCTTGTGGAAGCTGGCAACAGCTAGCTCTGTGCTGCCAGGATTGCTGCGTGGCATCATCTCCAACAATCCTGCATCCAACTACACAACAGCGCTTCGCAGGGTGCTTAAAAGATCTCAAAAGAACAGATGCTACAGATGCCAGTCATGACTAGCATGACTAGCGAAATCAACTGGTGTTGCAAATTCTGCTGATGTTGATGTGCAGATTTGTGGAGTTAAAGCACATGCGGTTCGTATTCAACTGCCCCTTCTCCATTCACGAGTTTCGCTCTCGATCAGTGCCGTTGTTGACTTGAACCCACTGATTCGCTGGGTTTGCAGTGTTTCCTGACAACGGCCAAGGGCAGCGCTCAAGGAGCGGAAGGCTCTACAAGCAGCATTCCAAGAGAGGAGTGCCGGAAATTAGTGGCCCGAAAGTCACTGGAAACGATGTGGCTCGAGATTGCGTCAAACAGTTTTTGCCCACCAAGTTCAGAGTCAACCCCGGTATACCCCGGTCAAACTCAGCCAGACCACATGAAGACCATATGATGAAGCCGCTTCCAAGCTAGAGCTGGCAGCCTAACAATTTTCAACTGTAAAGCGCTTTGCCCATCCATTCTCAAGCATGCAATGCACAAGCTCAGGAGCCCGAAAGTGCCGAGCTCGGGGTCTTAGAAGCCAAGGGCTATCATGCCAAAGCCTGCGTGACAACAGACTATTGGAAAGCTGCTGAAGTTTTATATAAATGTCTTTAGGTAGGATTCTTTAGGATTGTTCAGTTCTTCGGTTTTTATGAGGGCTGCAGCTTCTTCGAATAGATAGACAGAAAGAGAGATAGATGAGATAGATGTACGGGCACATGAATATAGACAATATACACTGGGTACAGTACTATAATACATGGATTATACGTTTCGCAAACTTCCTGTGAATGTGAGTTGAGTCGGTTTGCTTGCTTGCATGTTCTTGGCAGTCTTGCATCATGCATTTTGTTTGATTCCGAATAATTAATTAGTGAACTAGAGAAGTGCAACGCAATACAAAGAGGTTGGCCATACATTCGTATTTCTTGTCCCTGAACACTTTCTGTACCTGAGGTGGCTACAAGGAAGAATTGCCAGTACCAAGTTGCTCCGTCAGCAAGAGTGAGAATCTCAGTGACCAAAGCGTGATGCATTCGTCGCTCAGCGATCATCAGCTGCAAATACAAGGGAATACAAAGTGTTACATACGGGCTTGGCATACAGGACTCTTTCGGCAAAGGTCAGTTGTGGCACATGCCGAGCCACTGACTTCTGACCTGGGTCGGGTCAGTCATAGTTTGGGCTTCCGAGCACCTCGAAGCCAAGGTTTGCAAGTTTCTTTGGGTCACTTTTTGGAGCTCGGCCTCAATTCCACTGATGATATTCAGGCAAGTTGCAGCAAGCTGGTGCTCAGAAATGAGCCAGTCCATCCAATTCCACCAAGGACAGAAAACATGGTATCAATATGTATACCAAGCAGATAATTTTCACTTGAGCGGCCTGCTTATGGGAAGGGTACAGCTTCCGGGCAGGGTATGCCATGGCCCCTGGGCTTCTCTATGCTGCCATCTCAAGGCGGAGACTGAAAACCTACTGGAGCTGCTCATTTCTGTGGTGCCCTGGTTGCAAGATATTGCAAGCAGCGGAGCTGGTCACTATGGCACTATGGGTCACGACATCTTCCTCAAGGATAGCTTCAGGAGACATGCCGGTGCAGCAGTACGTATGTCCACACTGTATTGGCTGCGCCTGGGGGCTCTAACATCCCTTGCCGCATGCCAACCCAGCACACCAAACCAGGCTGGTCTGAAAGATTTCTTCCAGCTTCCACCACCTACGGATGCTAGAGCCTTAGAAGCCTTAGAATGTTTGAGATACTTTGATGCTCACACAATGAGATGTCACATGATGTAGATGGCGCCCTGCACTTCCACCCCTGATACATTCTGATCTCTTCCTGTCCTTGAGGTCTTCCAGCTAAATGATCGGCAAGTAGATTTGGCCAGCCGGTCTTCCCAGTGTGGTCTGTTGTGCAGCTACTTTGTTTGCACAGGTGGCTGGTGCACTCCAGCATACTCCAGCATAATGGAGCTATTTGTGGGGCTATCTGGGAATTCCATGGAATTCCATGGAATTCCTCAGATTGTTTCTTCGTGATGGGGTTCTGGGCTCGCTTGGCAGCACAATACCTAAAAAAAATCCGGATCCTTCTGGCTGGTTCCAGGCATTTATCCCAACTTCAAGGAGTTCGCTGACGTTGCATCACCCCCAATAGGCTGGGTTGGGCTGGACTGGGAATGCTCGAAGACCAATCCCTACATTTCTGTTGCAAGCAAATTGTGCAGTTCGGCCATGAAATAGGCTATTTGGCTTTTGCTTGAGTGCTTTCGTGGATCTTCGGCTTCGAAAATAAAGTTTCAGGGTCGCTGCATGCCAAAAATGACGCCAACCAGGTCCGATCCCTGGATTGCTGAAGGACCTGTTTCAATTTAAGAAAAGCTGGACATTGCAAGTTGTTATGGCTTACTTGATGCGAAGCTCTTGGTGGCACGACGCACATGTGTTCACTCTCTATGCTTGGGATTGATTTCATCCCTTTCCCCCAATATTAAACACCGGGCCCCCAACAACTACGATTTTGTAGTAGTATATAAGATGTAGCAAGGGATTTAGACGTATTTGGGGCCATTTAGCGAGTGTTTAATTTTGGGGGTTGGGGTTAGGCCAAGTGTCCTGACGGCGAGGATTGCGTTCGTGACTTTCAGAAGCTCTTAGACACCTGGGCCAAGCTTGTTGCAGAGGCAAGTGTCATGGCGCTTCGATGCCAAGATTGACAATGATTGACGTGCATCCTCCTGATCCAAGAATAAGAAGCCAAGCCTGAAGGGATGGGGTCAGTCGGGCCCTTCCCTTTGAATTCCTTTAGCTGTTAGCTGCATTTAGCTGCCATATACATCTATGCGTGACTATGCGCCGCAGAACCTGCGACGTCATTCGATGCCCTATTGATACAAATGAAAATGTTCGGTTAAGACATTGGTTTCAGGGCTGAAACTTCCACGCTGAAAGGCGATGCCAAGAGGCCTTCTTCAGGACCGCTGGGAGCAGCTGGTGCGGTCAGGCAACATTCCAATCATTGCGTTTACTTGTAAATATGCTACGTCTCTAGATATATAATGATATATATATATAATTAAATATATATATGTGCGTGTGTAATTTTACATGAAATTGTATCGCATCCTTCTAGCTTTTGAATATATGTTTACAAACGTAAGGATAATATGGCCATCCAACACTGCAATGGAACTGGCGGAGAGTTTGAACATCAGTTCGAAAGTCATTTGGTGATCCATGTTTCATGGCTTCAGGATCCTCCTTTCAGCTTTCATGGTCATGGGTGCTGTTAAACTTGCAGGGTGAAATCACCCGTGACCAGGGTTGAAATTTGTCCCTGTCCGATTTGTTTGGGTGGTTTCAGATCCCAAGTTTGAGCTGTTCCTTGCAAGCACCTCTGTAAATGCGTGTTGGATGTTTTGGCATGTTTTGGGGCCCCAGCCATTGACACGACCGTTGTCTCTCCAAAAAGATCTAGCTTAAAGATGCTTAAAGGCTTAGAGGAACTCTCACTCCTGCATCTTACATTGAACTCCGAGCTCCAGATAGCACCTGGATGGCGCATGTTGGAATTCCAAAGAGATTTTCAGCCTCCTATTGTGGCAACCGGTTGCACTCTAGCACCCCAATCATGCCCCCATCTTCCCTCAGCCTGCGCTCATGTGATCATGGCGAGGCCATTCTTTCAGGTTCAAGCGACCTGGTTGCCGCTTGCTTGTATGCCACCTGGCTGAACCCGAAAAGCATTGGAAGCGGCTGGAAGCGCATTCAAAGGTTGCCCACATGCTCAGATCTTGACAGCCTCAATTTGATCCATATCAATCCATATCATACATATTTATCATTATTTATCACGATTTTGCTCAAGGTCTTTTTGCGGTACCAAGAGATTACATGAATTGACCTGATATGACTTTGCTTCTAAGAAGTTGGACTGCGGCAATGCTTGAGGTTTGTGTGGACAAGCCTGCGGTCTTTGCGCAAGTCAGAGACGAGCGAACTGGCGCTGGAGCTGTCCATGTCGCTGCAGCCGAGGGGCATACCACCATCATCAAGGTTGGGTGGACAAAGATGCATAGAAAATAATTAGTAGAGCTGAAGATGCTGAAAGCATTTGAAAGCACCCAACTTGCCTAATAGCCCTCCTCATTTGCTTATCATAATCTTATCATAGTGCCACTTGGTTTATTCGGGAATTCTGATTAAAGATTCGCCCAGGGTGACAAGATCCATCAAGATACAGATTTTCTTGGTGAAATGCCGAAGTCTTGGCCAAGATTGGCCAAGTCTTTGCTGAAGTTTTCTGAAAGCTGCCTTCTTGATCCTTCTTGTAGGTCTTGGTGGAGAACGGTGCTGATGTGCACGAGGTCAGCCTCAATGGGTTCTGAACCCAGCGGAAGAGACGACAGAGACACTCAAACAGCCACCGGCCACAACATTGGTGAGGCTTGAGCCAACATGAGCCCATCTGTCACCAACCTGTCAATGTCTGTCAACCACTGCTAGACTCGTTTCTAATTTTTCTCTGGAGATGGTTTGGCCGCTTGGCCCAGGCTCTTTCTAATCAGCTGCATTCAGCTACAGTGCCTTGTTACATCTTGCTACCCTTGAGGCAATCAGCCTTGGATGTTGCCATAGTGCGACTCTCAGAGAGCCATGGGAAAAGTATGGAAAAATGGGAAGCTTGAAGTGACCGAAGTTACCGAAGTGACCGTGATCGAAACTGGAACATTGTCAATGTTCCTTAATGATCCTTAATGTGCTTTACATGTCCTTACCTTTTTCTTGGCTTCGAATTTCAAATCAGTTTGGATTGGGCGTCGGCTATTGCTTGATGTGCGCGGATGACTCGTTTGCAATGTGCGCAGATGACCCGCTTTCAATGTGCGCAGATGACCCGATTACCATTGCTTGAAGGTTTGCTGATCAGGTGCAGTATTTCGCGCGATTACTGCGGGTCTAAAAATTGAAGCGGCGAATAGGCATACGCAAGTACATGCATAGATTGATATACACGTGTGCGTGCGCGCGTAGATATCAATACAAGGGAGTCGATCCAAAGGTCAATGTAGGGATTTTTGATGATTTTTGGTGTTAAAACATGAAAACCCGCGAATGTTTTTCTGAGTTCCCGCATACTATGTGTATTTCATATACCTTTGTATCTCTACGAAAAGATCCATATAACTACATATACAATTAATGGGATGTGGTGGAATGGAATGGAATAGTATGGTGTAGTTTGGCGTGGTATGCACATATATACTTATACAGAGTGTAGACAGTAGGTAGATAGATAGGTAGATAGGTAGGTAGGTAGATGGATAGATGACCCGTTTGCAGGAAACACTTCAGAAGCAAGCTATCGATGTGGATTTACAGGCGCAAAGGGCCAAGCCACTGAAGCAACGCTTGGAACAAAGTTGGGCCACTAAACATTCAGGGACTCAGGGCTGCTCAAATAGCATTTCCCCCCTTGGTGTTGAAAATGTTTGCACATGTCTAGGGCCCAAGGGCAACAATGTGCACAACGTGAAAGTTATGTGTTTTGTGCTTTTTTGTGCTCCTGGAGTATTGGGCAATCCGGTGGCAGTTGGCGGGCCGATTGCAAGAGACGGTGGACTTGCTGCACAATGAGTACAAAGTGATCAGCTACGATTACGAGACTTGATTGAATTTATATATTTGAACGTGATGTTTGCTGCCTCTTCAAACCAGCCAGAATGAGCCATTGAACCCTTCTGGTGGGTTCAAGCAATAGTAGACCGGACTGTGGTGGAATGACGTGAAAAATGAGACGGCGGGATGGTATAGCATGACCAGCTCTCCCGAGTTTGAACAAGTTGGAGTTAGATTTTGATTTAGATGCTCTTGTCCAAGCACTTCAAATAAGACAGCTTGTGTCCCTGTAGTTGCTGGTTTGCAGCCAGCTGGCTGCACTCTTTTGTTCAGTGGGCCTATGTGGGCCTCAAGCCCCAGAACCCGGACACATCATCCAGAATTCATGGGTGAACGGGCAATAAGGTGAAATATAAAAAGCGCGGTGCCTGGTTCAAGCGACCAGAGACCATGCTGAAGTGGCTCCGGATCAAGCAACTGCAAGGCACTCAATAAGCTTATTTGAAAGATTTGACAGGATTGTGGGTTATAGGATGTTATAGGATGTTATAGGCATGGCAGGTGCCACCAGCAATCTCAGAGAGAGAGAGAGAGAGATAGGCGGCATGTGGCAATTTAGGTCCCTGAGGCCCTGAGTCATTGACACTGCCGCGCATCTCCGAGGCTGGAACATCACTTCGAGAATCTGAAAAAGGCTTTCTTGGAGACCTGGCTGATTAATGAAGGCAGCCGGCAAGACCTAGCATCTTCATGCAAAGCCACATGCTGCGGGACCTGCCTACATCCCGTAGGTTCGATATGGTTCGATTGGGGCGAATGAAGTACGATGCCCTCTGCTTCACATGATTTCACATGCATCTGTTTGCATTTGTTTGCATCTGCTTCTATCTTTTGAATTTGTTTGCTTCTCGATAAGCTACTAGGCCTAGGCCACGGATTTCTTTCCAACCTTACATTTCCTGCCCGGGGTATGCCCAAGGAGATCGACACCAACCATTCGGGTGGAATTGTATCCCGGCTCAAAAGTTGTTTATGTTTTCTGACTTGGAGCCCAAGCCTACTAGAAGACCAGATGGTACTGAATTTGTGTGTGGAATATCTTGGATACCTGCAGATTGGAAGCATTTTCAGGGCCTTTGCATCGAGCTAGACTCTTGAAGGCTTAGGACTGGCCAGGACGATTGAAAGAGCATCACAGGAGAACAACACTATACTATACGGATAGTTTGCTATATCTACATCTATATCAATGTCAATGTATATATAATATATATATATGCCACAAATGTTTACAGTTGACAACATAGCGAAACGTTTGTGAGGCTTTCTCAAATGCTTTGCCTCCAACGAAACAGCCCAGGTGAAATACGAGTGGGAAGCAATGTTTGGAGCAGAAGGTCAGGTCAAAGACTCTCGATGGAATCAGAGCATGAGGTTGTGTTGCGTTCTACTTCCTCGTGAATGTGTTGTATTTGAATGTGATGCACATATACTTGTCTGAGTGTTGCAATTGACAAAAAATACATAAAAATACATAAAAATACAACATTCAACATATGTTCTCTAAATGGACCTGGGTGAAGGATTCAGAAACTCGAAATCAATTCATGCTGAACTCGACTTCCGGGTAAGGATGCTTTAGCGGCTGCAGATTTGGAGTCCAACGATGTCTTTGGAATGTGTGGGCCCCAGCTATGGTTGTTTGGCACAGCGATGTCCCTGGATGAGTCAAGATTCTTGGTTAATGAGAAGGGGCCAAAATGGTGCGCGCCACATGAAGTCAAGTGGACCATCACGTGACTGCGCCTCTAGTTGCTCTAGCGCTTTTTGCACAATGGGTCAGGTTTGCACTAGTGTTGCAAGGGCGAAGCGAAAAGCAGATGCGACGTGAAACAATAAACATGTCATTGAAATTCATTGAGGCCGCGAGTTGTTGTGTGCGTGTGATTTGTTTTGATAAGTGATTGGAGCGACAGAGCCGATCACAGACAGCGCGTTTTTGGCACCATAAGGCTTGATGGCTTGGACATGGAGGGCAAGGACAGGCATTCAAGCCTTCCAATACACCACTGCAGGATTTCAAGACAGTCCTTGCAAGTATCCCGTACCTTCCGAGCTGTTCAAGTTTTCACTGCCCACTCTGTTGCGCCATTGCATCAGGACATGGTGATTACAAAATCTGCCTTCGAACTGCTTGATTTGCTTGACTCTGGGAATTAAAGTTGAGAATTTTTGGAAGCCATGGATCCACTTGGCTTAAATGGAAGTGCAAAGTGATTGGGGTGATTTGAGTAGAGGAAATGTGGAAGCACACCCATTGCATACTGTTGCAATATGCGGCCGCAGCGATTCATACCTTCTTCTCAGGATTGGCACTTGACCTCAGACATTTGGCAGGATATCTTGCTCAAGCCGCTGTTCGCAGGGGAGCCCAGCCAGTAGATGCTCCGCAGTGCCAAACACCAAGCCTTGCGGCGGCACAGTTGCAGATGAATGGACAAAGTGCAAGCATGTGCAAGCTAACCATTCAACAAAACCAAGACGTTCAACATGTTCAACATGTGCCTGGTAGAAATGCTGGCAGGTGAGATCCCGGCGGGGTGCTGTTCGACACCAATTGCCTCCACCCCCGAAATTGGAAGAATTGGTAGCTCATAAATTGCAATAAGCACTGAAAAATATCGCGCAAACAATAATTGATAATGAAAACTTCATTTGAAAACCATTGCTTACAATAAATCGGTTTTGGGGGCTCAAAGATGATCAGGAAGGCAATTTATGTACCCTCTGAGAGGTCTAAAGAATTCAAGCAACCCCACCGCTCATCTTTTGGAGGGAAGGGTAAGTGGATCTACGTGATAATACATATTCAATTTGTTAGGCACCTTAAAGACTTCATTAAAGTGCTACTTGTTGGGGAAGTGTAAAGATATGTTGCTCTTTACTGAAACCACCCTTGCCAGAAACGGTGCATTGATCATCCCACAATAATTGGCAAAAATCAAAAGTTGCATCAGAAGGTTTAGCGGTGCAATAGGGAGACTTGTTCGTCTTCCAAATAATTGTCAGACCCCACCCCCATACTTTGAGATACTTTGCGAGTTGATTTATCAAATTAAGCCAGCATAGACCCCAGATAGCACAGAAAATTCAGTTGCGCATTCTTTGGAAGCGATAAAAGCTTGCAATTTGTTTGTCATTGTTTAGAAGTCACGCCTCTGTGAGCTACGCACAAATCCGATACAAGTGGAACTATTCAACATCTACATCAAATGCAATTTGCAGGCCACCCTGTGTTCTATCTAGCTATCTATCTGTCTATTTGTCTAGCTATGTTTATTTGTCTATTTGTGTATCTATCTATCTAGCTATCTGTCTATCTATCTATCTATCTATCTATCTATCTATGTATTTATCTTTCCAATCTATTTATCTATCTATCCATCCATACATTTTTTATTTGATTATCTAAGTTTCTGTCTATCTATTTGTACTGTATATTTATTTATCTATGTATCTGATAGTATCTATTTAATATCTATCTATCTGACTATATGTCTATTTATTTATTTATTTAACTATCTATCTATGTATCAATATCTGTTTGTCTATCTATTTATCTATCTATTTATCTATCTATTTATCTACCTATCTAATCCTATCTAGTTATCTGATGATCTATCTTTCTATCTATTTATTTCTCTATAAATATGTGTATTTGTGTATCTATTTGTCTGACTATCTCGCCAATCGACTATCTGACTATCTATCTAGTGCTAGCTATCTATCTATCTAAAACGAAGCAATTCTGCGAAATTTCCTGAAAAAATGGATGTGCACAGCACCAAGACAAAACAATTCTGCGAGATTTCCTCAAAATTCGCAGCTCCCCAAAAATTTACAATTCCAAAACGAAAAAATTGACTTAAGGGATACTTGAACGTATTACAAATAAATTCGAAGAATTCTATATTTTTTTTCGGTATATAAAATTTCAAATTTTCGAATGGACCGAATAATATATATATATATTTAAATATGTAATTTTTATCGTTTTGATATAAATAGTTTAATCTCAAAATATATATAATATTATAATATCATATTATTTTTAAATATTAAAAATATTGAAAATTATTGAATATATATAATAATTTAATTTAAATATATATATATAAATTATATTATATATGTATATATAT